TATTTATAAAGTCTTTCTCTTATAATAAACCTTGAGCCAAATATGGGTGATTAGAAAGTGGCCAAGGTACATGGATTACATAAGGAAGTAAATCCAACTATCCAACATGGAAATGAGAAAGATATAAGCTGGATAAAACAATGGTATTAACCATTAGTGTCTTGGCAAGATCCTCGAACTAGAATATAAGATTCTGGACGTCCATATGGTATCAAGGAATGATATAATGCTAGCAAAACTATATGCAAGACACATAGACCCAAGAATGAATGACTATGTCATACCAGCTTATGCACCACGAGTTTAATGTCCTAGGAGAGATATAATCAAGTTGCTATAAAGTCTATAAAGGTAGACTAATAAGTTCCAAAAGATAGAAACCTCGGAAATGGTATGAAAGGTGCATAGAATCATAGAATCCGAGTTCAAAGGAAACTAACCAGACATTAAGAAAAGGGCTGCGCAGCTAAACATCTAAGGTACCAGACCATGTAAGCTTGGGACGCCAAGATTGCAAGGCAGGAAAGGTCCTGGATAAATAAGATCTAAAATGGATTAGATCATGTCTGAGTAAAATGGAACTATATGAGAGTGTTAACACCAGTGGTATAAGTGAGCTCATACAAGAAAATAGCACTTGAGATTTATGGAAATGGAATGAGGATCATGAACCCATGAAAGAGTACTCATAGATCATAATCATAGATCATAATCATGGGTTTCAGAGTATATATAAAGCATGATGTGTGTATTGGCCATATTGGAACACCATCAACCAGTGATATGTAGGCCTTGTGAGTTATATGAATCCGTGAGGAAAAGGTTAAAATGAACTCAGGGTATTCATGTTCTTACACGAGACATAGGAACATATTATTAGGAGATAAACTCCTAAGTGGTGGATGCTACTAGTCAAATTCGAAATTGACAAATGTCTGGTCATAAGTTGACATATAATAAGGTAGTAAGTAGCATATGGTTCACTGGATTAATGGTTAAAGGAAAACCATGAAAAATGAGAAAGGAATTCTCAAGAACAGCATTGTTCCTAAGCTGTTCATGGACTGAAATTATGCAGCTGCAAGTAATATGGAATACTAAGAAATACTTAGTACAATCAGTCCATGTGTATTATACAAAAGGTGTATAATCCTTTATATTTATCCTAAGGAAGGATGAATGGTTCAATGATTAAGTCATTGGCATATGTGTTGAAATCAGCACTACCAAACTTCATAAAGAAGTGGACGTATGGAAAGGCTAAGGAAGCCGTATGGTCCATACCAAAGTTCATACTACCGACCAAGGCTAGGTCCGGATACATTCTAAGTCCAAATCATCCATGGGAGATGACTAATATGTTGGTTCAAAACGTGCTTATGACCTAGAGGTACTAGACTATCAAGGTGCATAGTTTAAAGGTCCTAAGGAACCAATGTAGTATAAACTATATCTACACATCACCACACATGAGTCATGTTGTTAAGGCAACATTAGGTTATGATATAACCACTCATTGGCGAGTTGTTGACATGTGTGGGTAAGGTCCATGACCATAATGTACTTCAGTACGTGGCTTAATATAAGAAGGTCATGGGACACCATCAAAGGAAGTATGGTATGTGATGTTTAAGTACAAAAGTTATAGTATGGGACTAGAATGAAGGCACGACCATTAAGCTTTGTATTAATGGATAAAGAAAACTATAAGAGTCCAAAAGAGTGACCAGAAGTAGGCATGGTTAAGTCCTAGTAAATATGGTATTGCTAAAGACAAGAAAGGTCGATAAGTCATGTAAAATGGTCCATGAGCATTTGCTGCAGATCCATGGTTTGATGTGATCATAATATTCATTGCAGCAACTGGTGAGGTAACTCATAAGGTTATGGACGTGATAGATAAGGTCTATTACCCAACATGAACTTACCCAAAGGATAGGAAAGGATATCGACCATAATGGATAAGACCATTAGCCCATACATTTGATATATGACCAAATGGACTAGGCATGTCCATGAGAACCTAAGGATGGTTCACATATATGTTTTGGTCTAAGACTCTATATAGGATGTCCACGAAATGGCCAAGCCATATGATCAGTGGATCCGTGGGACATAAGGGGACATGAGATGGGCCTGCAAACAATGGTTGTATGCAGATCATAAGTCCATCCGAGTGCTGGTCAAGTACCATCCGACCAGGGCACCAGTCCAACAAGGAAATCAGTCCAACCAGGACATAGAATGGTCAGTTGCATGAGATGCACGACATGACCATGTCTTAATGGAGTTCCAGAAGACATTAAGAGACACTAGAAGTTCCAAGATGATCACACGTCAGTGGTGTATTCACCAGGGGGAGTTTCATGTGTTGTACTCTTTTGTCCTGTCCTTGGTTTTCCCTTTTTACCACATTGGGTTTTGGGTTTTACCAGGAGAGGTTTTAATGAGGCAACATCCAAAGCATGAAATGAACTTTGACCGGATATATCAACCAAGGTGGAGTGTTGAGAAATGGTGGTTGGGACATATCCGGAAATGGACCAGACCACATCAGTCTACTTCAGTCCCAAGACCAGGCGACAAGCACCTTGTCTCTATCCATACCAGGCGGCCAAGACTAGTCATTATCCTCCCTTGTGTTTATCCATATGTTGTAGTTATCCTAATCATTATAGGATTAGGATAATCATCCCCTTTATTGTTGTAATCCTTATCTCCTAAGGAATATGCTTTATTCTCTTGTATATATATGTATGTGCACGAGATTAATAACACACAACAGAGTTACAACAACCTTCTTTATTCCACAACAATATAATGTTACTTGATGAATTGTTAATACTCGAGTTGGTCTTAATTAGTTTATTTAAAAATCAGTATGCATTAAAAACGAACCCGGACTATAGAATTTGTTAGTGAGATTAATCTTATAAAATAAAGCATATAAGTTTCTCTTTGTAAATGATATATTATCACACATAAAGTCTTATTTTAGCTTGTTAGTGAACTACAAATGTAAAACGAAAACTATTGTGTATTTCTCTTGTAAGAAATTGTGATTATTTTCAGATTATTTAATTTGGTGGGAAAACATGTTAGTAGTTCATGTTTGCAACTATCTCTCTCATGACTATATACTAATACTATATAGTGATCATTTAAATTGTACCTCAAATTAATAACTTCTACTGTCAACTCCCATTAATATTTAAACCTTATTCAGATAGGAAAAGAATCAAATAACAAAACTTGAAAGATGGAGGCATAATGATCAACCATGTGCGTAGCCATCGTCACCACATGTCTTTTTATTTTTGCCACTACATGTCTTAGTAGCCAATCTTTCATTGTCCCTCGCTAATCCAATCAATCTACTCACTTAATCCATACATAACTCCCTACTATTATATCACAACTTACATATTTATTCATAATTTATTATTATTATGGAGTGTGTCATTGGTGGTCGTCGTTTCGAGAGGTGTGGCAAGTTTACCAAATCTATAGTGGTTCAACTTTGGATGAGGAATCCAAAGTTATAATTTCAACTAGTAACAAAAATAGTTTTAGTTAATAAAGAGTTCCATATATATATTTCACCTTTTATGATAACAACAACAGTAACATCATCAATTAAAATTGAGTTTCATTCTATTTTGTTCAAAAAGTGCATTTTTTTTTTGTATTTTTGTATCACTTGTTTCTTTATAGATATTTCAAATCTCAGTATATGTTATTTAGAGTTAAAACATCATTTCTGTCACGAGTGTTATGAAACATTTTTCCAAATTAAAAATATCAACTTTCTCGTGTTTGATATTGAGAAGGAACAATGACAACTTGACAAGAATCAGCAGTTTAATTAGTTTAAAGTCAATAATTAGTAGGTGCTTCATTGCTTGCGTGCACGATAAAGGAAGCATTGAGATAATTATTTCCATTTTTCTCACGATGTCATTTTTTTCTTTCTCATGATATCTGCCAAAAAATGGTTAAGACATTGTCTGACGAAGTATGAGAACCTAAATATTGAAGGTTTTTTTTTTTGTCGTAAACATAGAAGTTCAAAATGTATCTCGAGGTCCCATGCAAGGCAAAGGCACGTGCGTCTGATTTGCATCAAAGTTTGTGGAGACATTTTTAGTACCTTTTAGTTTTCTTTCCGATCGATATTTCATTTAATTTTACAATAATGCAAAAATGCTCAAGTCAAAGTAGTTTTCTTTCCGATCGATAAAACTTTTAATGCATAGTATACTACTTATATATCAAATAAATAATTATGTTTACCAAATATCATTGAGAAAATTGCATGTACGTATATATATACTTGTACATTTTGAAGAAACTAAGCAGTTGCCAGTATTGATGAATGAGTGGCAAAACTAACAACTATTTGAAAATTTATCTGTTGCATGCAAATAGTTTACTAGTGATTTGATAAACTTCAATTTGTAAAAGCAAGAGTTGAAACTTACATTCTCTTTTCTAATATATACACATGATCTACAAAAGAAAGGATAACTTTATAATATACAATATTGTAGTTGGAAAATCATACATTAACTCATAGTATATGGCTGTTTTTAATGGGATACATATATCTTGGTTAATTATGTTGCACCGAGCTCAGGTTCTAAGAATTAAATTATGGTGGTTTAGTGACCAATTCCCTATTAGTTTAACTAAGCAATTATTTATCATTAACAATTCTCTTTCTAGCTAAAAAAAAAACTATTTATAGCTTCATGAAAATTTCGCATAGCGATATCATGATGTACATAATAATAAGCATATAATATACCAAGAAAATGAAAAATGAAATAAATTAGGTTTCAGCCTTAAAAACAAATAAACTAAAGTTTTTTAATTGTACCCTGCCACTTGGGAGACAGATCACTAGTTAGTTGAAAGGGTGGCTTTCAAGTTTTGGATCCAACGCACGTAATCTCTCTCCTTGATCTCTCTCTTCTCTCTCTCTCTCTAAAATTCTCCTAATGGCAGAGATCAGCTGCGTCAAGGAGATTCAAGAAGAAGATGTTGATAAGAACCGGTACTTACCTACTCAACCACAACTGGATCTTCCTGATCACGAAGAGCAAACGGTCAACGAAGAGGATGGGTGCAAGACTCCAACATCGTCAGCTCACAAGATTCCAGCGGCGTTATGCCCACCAGCTCCTAGGAAACCGAAACCAAACCGATCTTCCGGGATGAAAAGAAAATTGACGCCGGTTAATGCTGTTAACCGTATACCCATTGACTTGAGCCGTGAGATCGAGATGTTCTTTGAGGAGTTGAACCGCAGGAGCAAGAAGTCACGGAGACAATTATAAGAAGACTAAGATTACTGATCCTTTCTAATTTATGACTGTGTGACCCTTTGAATCTTTACTTCTTTTTTCTATCTTTTTATCCTTATCTGTATAATATAAGTCCATGCTGATAGCAATAAATCTATGATCACTTCAAGAGTCCTTTAATTTTGATAAAATCGAAATCTCTTCTTTTTTTTTTGGTCAAAGAAAAATTTTCAACAGTGATTTAGGTTTTCTACTTTTTTTTTTTGGGTTCAACTCTACTTTTTTTTTCTAATATATTATCTACAGAGGGTGTAGAAAGTACTATTATTGATATTCATATTATTTATGATTACTTAGCCAAACAAAGCATACAATCTATAAAACTTGTTGTTTAGCACCACATACTCTTGTCTATATATGCTTTTCTAGAAACTAAAATATAATAACAAAAGCATGAATTCATATGTGGAAGTATGCTGTGAACAGAATATATATATATCTGAAAATGACTAATTACCAAAATATTATTTCAGGTTATTCCTAGTTTTTATTGCTGATTAATTAACACCTCAAGGATTCAATACACCAAAAACACTCATTATATACAACAATGGGTTCCCCAAAAAACCTTGAGTATATATTTGGTAATATGTATAATGTCATTTTATATTGCCTGACTCAGACTTTTATTAGATTATTTTATAACATGTTAAAGTGTGTTTTCCTGTGAAATTCATATGATTTCGTTTTCATATATATATATTAGCAAGGTTCACATTTTCTTCATATCCCATAACACAAATCTATTATACCATATTATGATTATTTACCTAATCAGTTTTTTAAAAGATTATACTTGTTAAGAAGAAAAAGAAATGGCCGTGGAAGCAAACATCCTTCGTTCTGGATCATGCTTCCTTCTTTGCGTACATCCTTGTTATGATCGATGAATTGATCAATATTTTATACTTTAATCTATGTGTGTGTGCCGTTAATGTATACCGGGTTAAGTTACACATCAACCAAGAAGAATAAATCTATCAAAAAATATTAGATAGTAATACATATATTCTTCTACTTTCATGAATGCAAATATCAAACTGTTCTGACAGAATAATACATTAGCATTAATTAAAAGAAATCATGTTTTTCATGTAGTCAAGTGTAGGAGTCAAAGAGATGATTCACTCCGGGTTGTGGAGTGGATTCATTCTCGATGTGGTAAAAAAAATACATTGTTAGTTTGGTCAAGTAGTGAGTGTTAGGTTCAATCAAGTGACTTAGGCAATACTAAATAGATTCAATGTATTTGGTTTAAAGCCTATAGAGGTCATAACCTTCTGTACCTTTTGTTTGGTGAATTGAAGTTGATGATGAGTTTTTTAAAATAAATTGAAAGAAATCATAGTTTTAGCTCGCTTATAATCCAGGCAAGATGGCAAAACCATCCAGTGTTCATCTAATTATAGAAATGTTTACAAAATGAGCCTTACAGTAAACATCTGATTATGAAAATGTGTATATGGGCCCATAAGAAAAACTAAAGCTAATGGGCTTAATATGGGCTACTCCCCGAATCTGCATAATATACAGACGAGTTGTGGATCGTCGGATCATGAGACAACACGGATCCACCGTTAATAATGTTAGGGATCCCTTGATTCTCTCCCTTCCACTTCTCTCTCTCCCTCCAAAAACAATCACTCAAAAACCAAATTTCGAATTTCAAATCCGAAAATTTCCGAAACCAATGTACAGCTATGGCGAATCAAGTCGGCGCGAATGGGAAACTGGAACGGAAGAAGACGATGGCGATGAACTGGGCCGGATTAGGCGATGTTGAAGACGACGACGATCACTTCTTCGAGAGCTCTAACCGTATCTCCACCGTCGTCCCTATCGATTTGGCATCTTCTTCTGACGACGAGGAGGAAGGAGATTTCGATGATTGCCGGATCTCATTTTCCTCTAACGTCACTCGTTCCGCTCCTGTGCCGGCGGTTATGTCGCCGGATTTCGATATCTGGATGGCGGCGCCGGGATCAATCACGGAGCGACGTCGTAGGCTTCGAGATGGAATGGGGATCGAGTCGAAGAGGAGTATGCTCGGATCCATCTCGATCCAACGCATCAGCAAACCTACGGCGATTGAGATCGTAGGAGGAGACGTTACGGTTACGGAAGCGAAGGTTGAGGAGCCGGTTCATAATCCTACGGTGGATCAACAGTCTCCTCCGATGTCGGTTTTAATCGTACGGTCCAGATCCGATTCCGATATTGAAGCCACTTCCGCGGAGAAAGATAGGAAAGAGGAAATGTTAGGGAAAACGTCGAAATCGCGTCTGACGAGAACCGCGTCTGCGTTTGGAGCTCCGCGTGCGAGAGTCTGTCCTTACTTCACGCGAACGCAAGCCTCCTCGCCTCCGAACGCAACCAAACGCAGCGGCGTGAAGCTCTCTACGGTAGTTTCCAATACTCAGTTCAGTGCTTTCTTCCTGATTAAGAATCTGGACACAGGGAAAGAGTTCATCGTGAAGGAGTACGGCGAGAACGGGACGTGGAACCGTCTCAGCGATCTTCAAACAGGTAAGCAATTGACGATGGAAGAGTTTGAGAAGAGCGTTGGGTTCTCATCTATCGTTAAGGACCTTATGCGACGAGATAACGCGAATTCCGCCATTGATTTGAGTAAACTCAATTCGTATGTGTCAAAGAGCTTGAGAGAAAGCAAGAAGAGAGGAGTTGCTTTTTTGAAAAACATAAAGGGTGTTGCTCATTCGATGAGCTCTAAGATTCCAGAGAAAGACAAGGTGGATCCTAATGTTAGTCAGAGAGTAGTGGACCAACAGCAGGAGAAGAACAACGACGAGACGAATCAGTGGGTGAAGGTTAGGCATTCAGGGAAGTCTCATAAAGAGCTCAGTGCTTTGCATTTGTGCCAAGAGATTCAAGCTCATCAAGGAGCTATTTGGACTATGAAGTTTAGTCCTGACGCGCATTTGTTAGCAAGTGGAGGGGAGGATTGCGTTATTCATGTGTGGGAGGTTCAAGAATGTGAGATCTTGTCAACGAATGAAGGGAGCTTGACACCTGTTCATCCTTCTGTGTCTGGGGAAGGTGATGATGCAGCAGAAGTGCCGCTGGAGAAGGAGAAAAAAGGGAAAGCTCCTTCGGTTAAAAAAGGAAAAGCTCCATCGATTAGAAAAGGGAATCAGATCCCAGATTATGTCCATCCCCCTGAAACTGTCTTCTCATTATCAGATAAACCCATATGCAGTTTCACTGGCCATTTGGATGATGTTCTGGATTTGTCCTGGTCTCGGTCACAGGTTAGTTTATGTTCCTGTCTTGACAACATTTGATGCAAGCAGACATGGATTGCTATTTGATAAACTTAACCATGCTTTCTCATGCAGCTTTTGCTTTCATCTTCCAAGGACAAAACGGTGCGGTTATGGGATATCGAAACTCAAAGCTGCTTAAAACTGTTTGCCCACAATGACTATGGTAAGAAAAGAAATGTCTTTAATACTCACAATGCTCGGAGCTTAATGCCTTACACTTTGGTTTTCAGTTACTTGTGTACAGTTTAATCCATTGGATGAAGATTACTTCATAAGTGGCTCCCTTGATGCTAAGATCCGTATATGGAACATATCAAACCGTCAAGTAGTGGAGTGGACTGATCTAAATGAAATGGTTACCGCGGTTTGTTACGCACCTGATGGTCAGGTACATAGCTAGCTTGACTTGTCACATTCATATACTTAAGAAACTGACAACATATGCTATTTGGTACGCAGGCTGCGTTCGTTGGTTCACATAAAGGGAATTGTCGGCTTTATAGTGCAGAGGGTATATTGGCTAAAAACTTATTCTATTTTGTAATTATGTTTAGCTATTAACTTTACACTCTTCATAAAATTTTGAAAAAAACATTTTATCTTTTGATTGGTCAGATTGCAAGCTGGAGCAAACAAACCATATCGATCTGCAAAACAAAAAGAAAGCTCAAGCTCAAAAGATCACAGCTTTCCAGGTTTCACTCTCTCTTTTTTAAAGATGTTTCGTTTGCTGGTTTTTATCATATAAGATTCTTTCTTACGCTTGAGTTTACTTGACAGTTTTCGCCGGTTAATCCATCAGAAGTGCTTGTAACTTCTGCTGATTCACGCATTCGGATTCTTGACGGTACTGAACTTGTTCAAAAGTTTAGAGGTACGTGTCTGAAACAAATTCATTCGTTTTTCGTCCAATTTCACAAAGTAAATATTACAAATCTCTTATTAATCCGAAAAACCAGGTTTCAAAAACACGTGCAGCCAAATGACAGCATCTTACACACTAGATGCAAAACACATTGTCTGCGCAAGCGAAGACTCACAGGTTTACATGTGGAAACACGAGGAGCCACGAGTAGGAATCACCGGTAGAAAAACCATAGCCATGTGTACTTCTTTCGAAACCTTCCCTTGCAAAGACGTCTCCGTGGCAATACCTTGGCATGGCGTCGTAAAAGGCGAACCACCACCCACACAAACCCAACCGAAGAAAAACCCAAAGAAACCCTCAACTACTACTACACCAGAAAACGCAACCACGGCTAAAAAGTCCGGCCTCCCACCGTTACCTAAGAAAAACAATGACGACACGGCAAATGTAGCAACAGAAGAACATCAAGAAGATGAGCCCACGACACATATTCCGCAAAATGAAACAGAGAACACGACTGGAGAGTCATTGAAGCCAGGGGACTCACCTTCTATATCGATCTCATCTCGGATATCTTCATGGTCTTGGTTCGATGGTAGTGGCAGTCATGGAACTCCTTTGGCTCAACCAACGGCTTGGGGAATGGTGATCGTTACATCCACGATCGGTGGTCAAATCAGGGCTTACCAGAACTTCGGTTTGCCCCGCAGAGTTGGTCGTCAGGGCTCTCTGTTTTGACGCAGTGTACATATTTACGTGTATATTTATTGGGAGTTTATAAAGCTCATAAAGAAGTTCTTGTATAGTCTACTGAGAGTTTAACATATGAATATATTATCCAGGATATTGTATAGAAGAGTTTCCCTAAGTTTCACAGCAAAGAAGGAAACCTTTGGTATAAAAGAGCTTCTGTATCGTATAGAAGAGTTTCCCTAAGTTTTTGAGTTTATAAGATGAAAACTTCACTTGTATTGCTACTATTACACATCGCGATAAGTTGAAAAAAAAACAAATAAAAAGTATCAGAAGCTTTGATGCATGCCGGGAGAATGCGCTACAAGGTCTTACAGAGTTGACTCTCGTCTCTCTGTTCATAGTGTTGCAGCGACTAAGTTTCGTCTGAGAGGCCTAACTAAACTAAAAAAGGCCCAACGAAATAGAAACAAGAAGCCCGTTTAATCAAAAACAAGGATCTCGTGAAAAGAAAGCTCTTCAAATTTTCTAAACCTTAATCTCCTTTGTTTTGAGAAGACTATAAAACAGCTTTCTGTCTCACTTCCGAACTCCTTTCGCGGCGCATTCAAACTCAGGTGCAGGTTAGCGTTGTTATTCATTTAATAGGCAAAGCTTAGCATGATCTTGAGTTTGATGATTTAGATAGAATTAGAGAGTATATAGCTCTCTTTTTTTGGAAATTTTAGAGATATCGCGTAATTCAAAGAGGTAGATTTAATATTCTCTTCTTTGAATTTGTAAAGTTAGAAAATGACGGCGTCTACACAAGCCAAGACAGGCTTATTCGTGGGGCTTAACAAAGGTCACGTTGTTACTAGACGCGAGCAACCTCCTCGCCCTAATAACAGAAAAGGGATATGCACTTGCAGTATTCTCTCTAATCTCCTAAAGATATGTGCTTGGATCTTATATTATAAATATTTACAGCAATATGATATGAGAGACTTAGTTTAACCAGTAGTTTTACATTTCTCATCTGGTGAAAAATACAACTTGTTACTAATGGCCATTTTCAAAATCTGATTTACCTATTCACCTGTCTCCATTTGAAATTATAAGTTTTGTCATCATTCTTTTTTTTTTGGATAATATGATGATATGTGGGGTATATTTTGTAATCAGAAAACAAGCAAGAGGAAACTCTTTATCAGGAGTCTCATCAGGGAGGTTGCTGGCTTTGCTACCTATGAGAAGAGGATTACTGAGCTTTTGAATGTCGGCAAAGACAAGCGAAGCGAGCTCTCAAAGTTGCCAAGAGAAAGTTGGGAACTCACAAGAGAGCCAAGAGGAAGAGGAAGAGATGTCTTCTGTCCTCTGAAAGATGAGATCTCCTTCTTCTTCTTCTTTACATAACAGAACAAATCATTAAAGAAGTGATGCGATGACGTTTATCAATGAAGTTTAATTTCCTAGTTGCTCATTTGGTTTGTTCTTGTTTCTCTGCAGGTCTGGCGATGGTGGTGTATCTGAGAAGAACAAGTGAGATGCCATTACTCCCCGTTCGACGGTTTGTTTCCTCCAACAATAGTTTTTTGTTTTGTTTTTAGAGTTCTTGCCTGATGTTTCTTTGGATATTCTGTAGCAAATATATGATTAAAAGTTAAAAACGATAACCATTTTGAACCACTTGTCTTCTTATTAACCGGTTCAATCTGGTTTAGTAACCAACATCTTGACCTCCCTATCATATAGTCTTTTATCATTGGCCCTACCTCTAGATTTATACAAATATTCGTTATAATGACGGTTTGCTAAATCGACGTTGATGTGCTCCAAAGTTGATAGTGTTTTGTGAGCAGTGAGGTGAGCAAGAAAGGTCCACAAAATTAATTATATATATTTAAGTAAGTGATGACAAATATTACAATTAGGCCTCGTGTGTTTTCTTAAGGACCAAGCAATTGTATATGGGGCGTCATCATCATCCGTCACAATCATATCTGTTTATCGGCCACCATATCCTATCTTATTCAAAATAAAAACAAGTTTTCATCAGATATGACAAAAAAATTCTTAAAGAACTAACACTCTAATAATCATTTTTAGTATTTGTAATGGCAAAATAGTCAGGGTTTATATACGAGAATTCAGATATTTGCTTTCTTTCCCGCACTCAAAGTGATTGATATTACTAACCCTAGGTGTTTCAAATACAACTCACTGACTAATTATTGTAAGAAAAACAAATCGAACTTTGAAACCAAAAAAAAAAAGAGAGAGAAAAGAATGGAACATATGATGTGTTTATAGATTTGTGTTGTGTTACGTGTGGTTCTTAGTTATTGGTCGAGTTAAAAAGGAAAGCAACTTGAGGTGCATGTTAGTAGAGGGAATTCATAGATTTGTATAAATTTGAAAATGATTGGTGCCTGTACCAGTCAAATAACACACATATATAATTCCAGTCTGACGTCAAATATGTTTACAGTTGAACGTAAAGTGGTGAATAATCTAAGATCCGTTTTGATTGTGGGCAACGACAAGGACAAGTGAACAAAAGAAAATTAACTTCTTTTACCAGTAAACAGAAAACCTAAAACAATCAATATATAAAGGAAAAAATCTAAGATGTTCTAATTGATTATTCATTTACATCGTATATTTAAGATAGCACTAATTTTTTCACATAAATTTTTTTTTTGTCAAGTTGTCCTTATATCAACAAACAAACAGGTTAAATTGACTACATCGAAGAACCCATATAAGAGTTTATTTAGTATGTGAGAACACGACACGAAAATGGTTATCTAATTAACTATACTTATTGGTAGTTGCTTAAATTACTTATGATTAGGTTTTAAACAATTATATGCCTAAATTGGAGGGAGATTAATTGTCAATGGTCATGATAAGTGTAGGCGTAGGAGTTGCATAACGTTGTTAAGGAAATCGTCGACAATTTTACTTAGCCATATCAAAAAGCTACCATATCGGGACCCTCATTGTTTTTTGGGTTGGCCAAGATTTGTTATAAGAAAAGTAATAAATAAAACTCGGTAGATAAAGGACTCAATAGGGACTATATGACTCAACGGGTCATACGCTAGATATTCACATATTTGAATATTCATCACGTGTACCTATATGGCTCAATGGGTCATAGTCATACGCTAGATATCTACATATTTTGAATATTTCATCATGCAATACTACATTACTACTCAGTTAAAAAACAAAAAAACTACATTCAGGGCAGGCTTAACATTCTTATAGGCCTTAGGGCAAAAGGACTTTTTAGGCCTTTAAATTTAAATTTATTTAATTTTTTCTATATTTTTTTTGTTCTGAAACTTAATCTTTAATATTTTGTGATGAAAAAAAAGATTCCATACACATAAAAAATGTTGGATCCTATTTTAAATTTATTTACTAAAATTTTAAATTTTTTTATATATAATTATGTATTTATTAAAAATTTCAGATCTCTTAACTATTAATATACGGAGAGACACATGCTTGAACCGGAGCAATCATACTGTTTATCCCCCAATTAGCCCCCCAATTAGCCGGACCTGACTACATTACTACTCCGCAAAAATAATATCTTATATGATAATCTATCTAATATGAAAGTTCCACAAGAAGGTTATATGTTCTACAGTTCTAGTGACAAGTAAGATTTGTTATTAATTTTTTTTTTGGCGGCATATTTGTTTTATGTTTTATTCGATAGAAATCTACATTTACCATCAAACAACTTTGAACTTCTGCACTTTGTTTTTGTTTAAACAACTTCTGCACTTAACCCCTCACAAAACACACAAACATACACATATATTTATACACACACACACACACACACACACACACACATATATATATATATATATATATATATATATATATATATATATATATATATATAATTTTCATGTACCGCGAGAGTCACATATATGTGGGTTTCGCATTTCTCCACGTGACGTTGATATGTTAATTGTCGTCAACACATACTTACCTATAATATCCAAATTTGGACTTACAGAGTTACATTATTCCGATTCACTGGTCCGGCTTCATGGACCTGTTTGTACCAAATTGTACTAGCTACGCTATGACTCCAGGTCAGTAGCCTATGACCGAATCTACGACTTCAATGCGAATGAAATATTTAAAATACGTATATACTACGATAAATATATAAAATAATTCCAACCCTTCGTTTGTTATCTTATGACTGACTGCACTAAGAACTTATTGAATTTAAGATCGGGGCATATATGCCTTGGTTTCGAATTTGTGGCATTGTATCGCTCTAAGGTTCACCAATATTGTATTTTTGAAAAAAGAATCAATGAACTTGCTTGCAATACACACAAACAATAATGTAAAATATTTACTTAGGATCATTAACCTCTAAGAAGATCATAAGAGTATGTATATATATATATATATTTGAAAACAGTGATATTTTAGTAAATAGGGCAAATCAAACAGTACACACAAAGTAATCATAATTTTTTCCTAAAATAATATAGTTTGTTTGTAAACAAAAATACATTAATTTGATGATGTGCTTAAGTTCTGTTGTCAGTCACATGTAAGGAAAATCAGAAGTACAGAATGGCTCAAATTCTCACGCGTGTATCGAAACACGTGCAGAATCTCTCGGTCGTTGCGCGAGGGTTCCACCTCCTCTGACCGCACCGTTACTTTTGTCGCCTAGTGGTCCGTGCACTTCACAAGCCTCTTGCACTCTTCCGAGGCGCGTCGGTGTTTTCCTTTACTCATTGTTCCGACATTGATTCGGTCGTCGTTAGATTTCTGTCTCTTTATTCAAGGAATATTATTTTGTACAAGTAGCTAATTAACTTCAATACTGTTTCATTTTTTTTTCTATGAGATATATACAGAATGAAATAATGTGTTCGAAGTTTGAACTCTTGATCCTTCGCACGTGATATTGTAAAACAACTAAACTAGGTTAATTACTCAGTATAGTTATTTTGGAAAACATTAATGTTTTCAGTTTATCCTTTATTTCAAACCAACTCAATTTAATTCAAATAACGTCGTCGATAACTGTAACTGAATTCTTCTGGTCGATAATTGCACCTGATTTAACATACACATATTCCAATAAAGAGTACGGTCTACTTTATCATTTATTATATGATTTTTTAAGTTCACATTCATTTTTGTCCTAAATAAATTTTACAAAGGTGCATATTTGACCATGTTATCGAAGTTCCAAGGTTTATCTGCTAGTTGGTAAAGCAACGTTACTCTAAAACCATACAAATTTAGAACACACATTCAAGTTATGAGTCTTATGACTCTAGATGTATATATGTGATGCGTTGATCAATACTTGTTACTCAATAAGTTTACACTTTACAGCAGTACTAACGAAACTAATTTTGAATACTTTGGCACACCATACACATTATACTATTTTATATTGTCTTCGCTATAAGACTTTTTTTGTGTGGACTAATCGGGTTTTGTCGTTTCGATCGAAACTGATATGCATTATCGACGATCATGCATGCATTGTATCAAATTAATCTAATGATACTGGCGGGCTGGTCTCCTATCCACTATATACGTATATTTATATGTACACTATAAAATATTATAATTATGAAATATAAAGAAATATTTACAGTATACACTTAAAATAAAAAATTAAGATCTCCTATGTACCTAGATCTCTAAATGATGTATCCGATCATTTAGTTAAGACTGTCCGATCCTTTTATCGTGATCTCTTGTATGTTGGTTGTTCTATTCCGGTCTGGATTCCCAGACCACCTCAAACTTGAGTAATAGATCAGCCTTTCGTTGTCAAAAAAAAAAAAAAAATTAAGCAGCACACAAAACACTTATCGGAAGTCACGAAGAACAATCCTTTTGCAGAGTAACCGAATCATTTTCCCTTAAATACTTATAGTCTTCTACATTATATATATGTATAATATATATATCATTATATAATCATCATGATTGATGGAACTAATATACTATGGTAACACAGTACATTCGATCTACAAATAATCACTTCCAATATTATATACACGTAATTCCCGATATTTTTTTGCTGAGTACAAATTTTTAATACACTTTTAGTGAATGATACATATGTTATAGAAAACGGCCTCATATATATATTGAACATGAATTGACTAATTGTAACAAAACCGCCTGCAAGTCATCATAAGCTAATTATCATGATTCTGAAATACTACATTTAAGAAACTCAATAATTAAACTTAATTATAAGAACGCAGTAATGCGTGTTAAATTGTAATTTAGTTCAAATTAGTATACAATTTAGTTAGATGTTCAAATAGCTAGCTTGTAGATGAAGTCTCAAATAGATTCTTCCTTGCTTTACATCAAAATCATCGTAAAGTCTAGCTAAAGCATTCCGTAAAAGACTCCATGATTTTTAAAATGGAATAATCATAAAACTATGCGGAACTTGGACAGATTTCATAAGCTTATAAAGTTAAAAGAAATTTATTTTGAATTGTTCATAAGCCATTAGACCCAAAAGCTCATCAAGAACACTTGTATAATAAAATACTTACAAATTGCCAATTGATTCGTATCCAGTATCCTTGTAAAATTCATCGTTTTCAGGATGAAAATACCGCAACTTCAAAATTTTGTGACATAATTTTAGGATACTAATAATAAAACAACTTTTTGACTGAACTTTTAATAATTAAAAAAATAACTTCAAATTCCATTTTAGTTTCGACACAGTTTAAATAGCGTTGGAAAATGTAATGTGTCATACTTTCTCATGGTTATACGTACAAATTTCCTGTCGCAGTTCCAACAAAAGTGCATTTTGATATTATGCATTTTAGTAGCTACAGTATTTATATATATAGTTCGTGGTTGTAGTCAACACGATAGACGTACTTTTGATTTATGGGCAGCAATCTAACTTGGTTAGAGATTTGATAAAATTTCAAGCAATAAGAAGACTGAACCACATTCAATATATTAAAATAGTAAAGTACATTGATAGAACATACTTAACTCATACAAACACCGTACTATACTCGCATGTATGATCATATCCTCATACTTACGATGAAACTTACAATAAAAAACCCTAATTTAATCCAGAAAAAATAACAACCAAGAGTATCCCAATATCAAAACAAAACCCAAAACTAGTAGTTTGTAATGTAATAAAAGACCTACAAGATGCATCGATGTACTAACTTCCAGCTAATTAAGTACATAAGATCATAGCACACCCAGTAAAAAAAAGTCTCGTCATCACATAGATTCGATCTTTATAGGGGATTGATTATATATTGCTAGTAGAAGAAGAACTGAAGTTATTAGAGACATCACTCCAGGAACTAGTTGATGCTGCAGTCCCATGAATATTCCAAAGCTGTTGTTCGTTTCCAAAAAGTTGTCTAGACATGTTGAGTTGATTGTTACTATCTTCCATTTTCACTGAAGCTAATTGCGACGCAGTGGCCGTAACCATAGCTGATGAAGCAGAAGAAGAAGAGAAAGAGGAAACAAGGTTATGAAAGATGTTCTTAGGTCGGTACTGACCCGACCCGGTGACTAATCCGTAATCCGGATTTTGCTGATCAACCGGATAAAACCCGGAAGATGATGAACTGTCTACACCACCTAGCAAAGGAAGTTGGTGTTGAGGTGGTGCCGGGAATCTCCATTGGTCAAAACCGGTCACAAGAGCTGAGGGTCCTCCTCCTCCGCTGCTTCCACCGCCGACATGAAAAGAAGGAGCTGAAACGGTACCGTACTGTAAGGTGAAGTTGTCAGTGAAGTCTAAAGGAGGCATGAGCTTGAGAGGAGGCAAAGATGATCCAAGTCCAAGTATGTTGCTGTTATTGCTGCTATGATCATGTCCGGGGATCAATCCGGCGTTGTAAGAAGATAGCAACGAGCTGAGAGAAGTCGAAGAAGGTGGTGGTCCCATCTGATTATTAGCCATGGCTCGGTGGTGGTATTGGTCGTTGCTTGTGGTGCTGTCTTGTGACTTACTGTTACCGCTACTGCTGCTACCACCGCCACCGCCACCGCTGCTGTTTTTGGTTCTTTTGTTTCTACGGCAACCACCACCAACAGGAACGCTCCTTAGAGCGCCGCCACGTGTCCAGTAACGGCGGCATGATTTGCAGAAGTGGCGAGGTTGAGTTAGACTGTAGTTGTTGAAGTAACAGAATTTGGTGTTGTTTGAGTCACATCTTGGACACTTCAAGGCTGTTTCAGGCAGTGGTATGTTGGCTAGTCTTGCCCTTTCAGCCATCGAACCTGGCCGTATTGATCCGCCAGGCCCCCCGGGACCACCACCGCCTCCACCGTTACCGTTGTTGTGAAGGGGAGGAGGTGTTTGTTGCGGTTGCGGTGGGAGGGGATGGTGAGGGAGGAACTGCTGGCTGATGTTGTTGTCTCCCGTGAATCCAACGGTGGCTGTGATTGTTTGGTGCTAAAGAGAGGAAGAAATGATTCAAAAAAATAAAAGAATTTGTGAAAAAATAGTAAAGTAAAGAGAGAATTAATTTTATGAGTATATTCAAAATCAACCACAGATATACATAGATTAAAAGTGACAAAAGGAACAAGAATATTATTATCCTCTTTTCTTGTTTTTAATCATCTCTTTATATTTACTTTCTTGATTCTTGAGTACATGCATAAATTATAAAACCAAGAAATTCCTAATCAAGAACTTACTTGTTGTTGCCAGTTTGATGAATCAGGATAAGTAGGAAATGAAGAAAACACCATATTTGATCTTTTTCTGATGATCTCTTCCCTCTTTAGTTTTTTGTTTTGTTTTAGAGCAACTAAAGGAATTAAAGGTGTTTTTTTGGGTGAAGGCTTATATGAGGAAGTGGAGAATTACGTCAATAAAAACAAAGGGAAGAGCTTTAGAGAGAGAGAAAGAAGAGGAGAGGAGAGCTTAGAGAAAGAGAGTGACAAAGGTAAAGAAGGAACCTTTATTCATATATATACATATCCACATATACATATGGACTATCTTTTGAATAATATATAATTTAAATATTGATGAATAAAATAAGATTTCAGTATCCATAGTGTTATTATGAGGCTCTTTTTGTTTTTATATTTTATGCGTATTTGCTTAGGGTTTTGGGAAGGTTGAAGAGAGGGAGTGTGTCTAATTGCTTAACTCATAAGCTTCTTTCTGATTCTCTCTTTCCGGCAATCCTGTTACTTCTTTACTGTGTGTGCTACATAACAATACTAATTTAAAATATCGATTGTGTTATTTAAAGTCATAAAGGTAACTATCGGGTTTACTTAATCTTGTGCATATAAAAGACAAAATATCAGTTTATGAATAAAATATATCAAATATGAACTTTAGAAACATTCTACTAGTCTAGAATATATATATATATATATATATATATATATATATAATAATAATAATAATAACAATGAGATTACTTATGGCTCTTAGTAAACCAAGGTGCAGATTTTTGTAGATTGTTCTTTTTAAATGGCTACAAATAACATTTAACATTTGGATATATATAATCACCAAAAATCATTAATATTTTGACAAAATTGAAAGAGATGCTGCTCTCTTATTCCAAGTAAAAACTACTTTGTGCCATCTATTAACATAAATACTCACTAAAAGAGTTTTAAAATCAAAGGTGTTGAAAAAAAAATGTAGAGTGAATTCTTCTGTATTTGTTTTTTAACCATGTTATGATGAATTTAATTGAGTTCATATGTGCAAAAGGGGAATTTGGTATATTTACTTTGAAAACTTTAGTACATGGTTACATATGATACACACCAACATTGATCAATTAAGTAAGGGTCCCATTAAGTAACTAAACATTTATATATCTTAACAAATATAACAAAAGGGGGAGAAGGTTTGACTAAAATAATACTCCCTCTGTTTTTAAATAAGTGTCATTTTGACTCTTTGCACATAAATTAAGAAAATTGTATAATAGACTAATATATTCCTATTTAATGTACGTTTAGTTAAATGAAAATAATTTAAGTAAAAAATAGATTTAATGTACAAAATTACATTGGAATTGTAGAATGACACTTTTTTTGAAACAAAATTAAAAGGCTAAAGTGACACTTATTTAGAAATAGAGGGAGTATTAGAATTTAGACGGGATGACGAAAAGAATTTGAGAATCAGTAGATTAGTTTAGCTGAATTGCAATAATTAGTCAGGCATATAGAGATATATAATGTATGTATTAGTATTAATTAAAAACAGTCCAACATTCTTCCGAAATGTCCCAACCATTTTCGCTTTTCTTTCCCTCGAACCGCCCGATGTCGGTCTCTTTTTTGCCTTTTCCAAGATAAAATAATAATTATTTGTTTATTTTTGCATGGGAATTGAGAGTTTTCACATCAAATGTGTCAACCACCCGCCAAACGGGAGTTAACTAAATCGCATTTTCTCATCTCGGTACTAACCTTACGTAGGAGCTAAATTTGTGTGGATTATTTTAAAACTCAGTACAGAGAAGAATACAGCCAGCCAACTTCGATTTGGTTCAGTTTGGTTGAATCAAAAACCTCAGGTAAAGATTAAACCGAATCGGTTTTCTGATAGACAAAGTACACGAAGTTTCAATTGTAAAGGAAAAATTGGATAAACAAACATATGATGTTGGCCTATGGAATTATAATTTTACAGGCTCTCTCATATGACACAGACACTAAGCCAGATGTATAGTGTTTATAGTATACCAATTAGATCACTTGTTTTTCACTTCTTTTCTCGAAGAACTGTGAAGAGAATCACCGGTTGCTTGGTCAGCGAGTATCAATTGGAAGACTCGAAGAACTGTGAAGACAAATATTAGTATATATAACATTTATTAGAAGATTCGATCTTTTTGTATGGAATAACCCACATATTTCAAGATTAAATTAGAAAATATGATATTTTTGTTTTGATGAAGAGCTGCATCATACACTAACATAGTATGAAGATTAAAGATGTTTGAGACTTTAGGTATTTTCGTTTCTCTAGAAAATAAAGTTTTTATAGGAGTTAGTCCACTTATTAGGGGGTATATATGAAGTTTAAATGAATTACTCATTTGAAAATTAGAAATGATGCCTATATACCATGAAAATAAGTTTAGCATACATATATATAAAATTGGAGTGTGGCTAGGTATTTTTAAACAACACTAAAGTGGATATATAGTATATATAGTATTTATCAAAAAATCAATCTTTTCGTAGGGGTTAACCCACATATTTCAAGATAAATGAAAAAATATTGTATTTTTATTTTATTGCATTGATTCATCATTCACTGGTGTATTATGAAGATTAAATAGGTTTGAGACCTTAGGTGTACCCCGTTATTTAGAAAATAGAGATTTTATATGAGTTATTTCACTAATTAGATCGTATATGAAATTTAAATAAATTACTCGTTGAAAATTAGAAATAATGCTCATGTACCCTGAAAATATGTTTAGAATAGATTAATATACATTTATAGTCTGATTACGTATTTTTAAAACAACATTAGTGAGGCCAAATTTAAGTATATATAGCTTTTATCAGAAAACTCGTTTTTTCGTAGTATAAATTAGAAAATATGGTATTTAGTTTTAATGCATATCTTTATAATTCACTAACATCAGATGAATATTAATTAGGACTGGGACCTTAGTAATTCCCATTTCTCCAGAAAATATAGATTTTATAGGAGTAATCCACTGAATTAGGTGGAATATGAAGTTTTGTTACATTACTCATTAAAATATAAGAAAGATTCTCATGTACCATGAAAATAACTTTAACATGCATTAATATAAATGTATAATGTGATTATTTATTTTTAAATTAACATGAACGAGCATAAACTTCAGCATATAGCATTTAACGGAAAAAATGATCTTCTTGTATGGGTTAATCCACATATTTTAAGACAAATTAAAAAAGATTTTATTACTAAGATGCATCAAACACATATATAGGATGAAGATAAAGGATGTCTCACTCCTTTGTTGTTCCAATTTTTCTAAAATAGAGAGATTTCATAGGATTTAGTTCATTGATTTACGTGGTATATGAAATTTTATTAAATTATTCGTTAGAAAACTATAACTGATGCCCATGTACCACGAAGATAAATTTAGAATATATTAGTATGATTATATTAATATGATTAGATATTTTAAACACTAAAGATGCTAAACTTAATTACAAATAGCATTTATCTGGAAAATTCAATCTTTTCGTAGGGGTTTAACCCACAGATTTCAAGATAAATTAGAAAATATGAAATTTTTGTATTTATGCATAGATGAATCAATCACTGATATACGATGAATATCAAAAGATTTGGATAACTTAGTTGTCCAAATTTCTTTAGAAAATAGAGATTTCATAAGGTTTAGTTCATTGATTTTGGTGGTATATAGAGTTTTATTAAATTCCACGGTTTAAAATTAGAACTTATATCCATGTACCATGATCATATGTTTAGTACATTAATATAAATTTTAAATGTTTTTAAGTATTTTTAGACAAACCTAAAGAGCCAAAACTTTAATATATATAACATTTATCAAAAGACACGATCTTTTTGTAGGTATTAACCCACATATTTCAAGATAAATTAGAAAATATTGTATTTTTGTTTTAATGAAGAGCTGCATCATAAACTAACATAGTATGAAGATTAAAGATGTTTGAGACCTTAGATATTCTCGTTTCTCTAGAAAATAGAGTTTTTATAGGATTTAGTTCACTTATTAGGTGGTATATGAAGTTTAAAGAATTAGTCATTGGAAAATTAAAAATGATGCCTATATACCATGAAAATAAGTTTAGAATACTTATATATATAAAATTGGAGTGTTGTTAGGTACTTTTAAACAACACTAAAGTGGATATGTAGTATGGATAGTATTTATCAAAAAATTCAATATTTTCGGAGGGGTTAACCCACATATTTCAAGATAGATGAAAAAATATTGTATTTTTATTTTATTGCAGAGATTCATCATTCACTGGTGTATTATGAAGACTAAATAGGTTTGAGACTTTAGGTGTTCCCCATTCTTTAGAAAATAGAGATTTTATAAGGGTTATATCACTAATTAGATCGTATATGAAATTTAAATAAATTACTCGTTGAAAATTAGGAATAATGCTCATGTACCCTGAAATATGTTTAGCATAGATTAATACACATTTATAGTATGATTAGGTATTTTTAAAACAACATTAATCATTGGAAATTTTGAAATGATTCACATGTACCATAAATATAAGTTTAGCAAACATATATAAAAATTTGGAGCGGGTTTACGTATTTTTTAAACAACACGAACGATGGTAACTAGTATATATAGTATTTAACCGAAAATTCAGCTTTTTCATAGAGGATAGCCCACATATTTCAAAATTTTTTATAAAAAATAAAATTTTTGTTTTAATGCATAGCTGCATCATACACCGCCATAGTATGAATATTAAATAGGTATAAGACCTTAAATGTTTTCGTTTCTCCAGAAAATAGAATTTTTATTGGGGTTAATCCACATATTAAGTGGTATTTGAATGTTAAATAAATTAATCATTGGAAAATTTGAAATGATTCACATGTATCATAAAGATAAGTTTAGCAAACATATATAAAAATTTGGAGTGGGTTTCGGTATTTTTTAACAACACGAACGATGGTAAATAGTATATATAGTATTTAACCGAAAAATTCAGGTTTTTCATAGGGGTTAGCCCACATATTTCAAGAAAAAATATAAAAAATGGAATTTTTGTTTTAATGCATAGATGCATCATACACCGCCATAGTATGAATATTAAATAGGTTTGAGACCTTAAATGTTTTTGTTTCTCCAGAAAATATGATTTTTATTGGGGTTAATCCACATAT